CCCCCCCGGCCCCCAAGCAACAAAGGTTGCCGACCCCTGCTCAAGAGTCTGCTCTAGGAATATTTCTGTAGAAGATGTCTCTGCATGAGAACCAGCTCTGCTCATGCCACATCTGCTACAACAGCGGAAGACCTGTCATGCACTCAAGGGAGTAGGCAATGTGATTGAGACACCATATGGAGTGCTCCCACAGCCAGCTCCTAAGGCACAAAGGGGGCTTTGCTACAAACAGATTTCCCCTAATGGGAGGACATCCACATGCAAAGAATGTGGGGGTTCATTCAGCCCCACACCAGAATGTCCAAAATGGTTTCCCATTTGAATATCTGAACAAGATATAGCTGTATTTTATACCAACTGAAACTTCTCAGAACAGGACCTTGTTTTCAAGGGCACTCCTATATGGAAAACATAATGACAACATTTGAGGTTACAAGAACTGGTATCTCTGTAGCCAGACTCTTTACCAGGGAAAGACTGTAGCTGATGGATGAAATGAAGCTGGCAAAGAGGGCTTCAAGTCACTGAAGCCACATGGACCTCTACTGACATTTTTGGATCAAAGAGCATGTTTACCCAAATAGATATTGAGCTAAGTTTGCAAAGCTGGATACCATCAAAGTAATGTGCATCTCAAAAGTCATCTTTAGTTTATTGGCCTTTGCCCAGCACATCAATAAGTCTAGACCTCCACGGTGTCACCTGATTCTGATGAAGTAGCTGAGGGCATCTGCATATTAATAGAACCTCACTCCAAATCCCTAGATGAATTCATCCAAAGCTTCATGTAAATGTTTAAAAGTGTGTGGGAAGAAAGGTGGAATCTTATGAAAACCCTCAAATTCAAATCAAGCAAAACACAGCACTCTCTTTCTCTCTGAAACTTGTAGGTAACTGTGGAACCATTGCATTGCTGTGTATTCCAATCCACACAGACAAGATACCATTGCTAATGCTATCAGGGGCCTTTGCAGACTGCTAGAAATACTGGTAGTGTAAATTGAGTCCACTTTAACTGCCCTGGCTGGGTGCTAGGGAATCATGGGAATTGTATTTTTTTCTGAGACATTGAGCCTTCTCTGTCAGAGAGCTCTGGTGCCACAATAAACTACAGTTCCCATGATTCCCTAGCACTGAGTCTGGGCAGTTAAAGTGGACTCAATTTGCACTATTTCTGGCAGCCTGCAAAGGCCCAAAATCTCCTAAGACATCACAGAAAATCAACAAAATTGTGCTCTGCTTATCTCTCTCTCAACAGAGGTCATCCATCAGGGTGACAAAGGATGTTTCTGTGCCAAAGCCTGTCCTATGTTAATTGAAATGGTTAACAGACACTCTTGAGTGGAACAGTGGTTAAATGCCTGTACTGCAGCCACTCACTCATAGACCACAAGGTTGCGAGTTCAATACCAGCCAGGGCTCAGGCTAGACTCAGGGCTGCATCCTTCCAAGGTTGCTAAAATGAGTACCCAACTGTTGGGGGGGCAATGAGCTTACAGTTGTAAACCGCTTAGACCAGTGGTCGGCAACCTACGGCCCACATGCGGCCCACGGAGGCCTTGGGACCGGCCCGTGGCCGGTCCCACCACCACCGCCTCGTGCGTCAAAAATGGTGCCCGCGCTTAGGATGTAGAGGGATGCTAATCCTCCACATCAGATAGCTTGAGAAGCACCTGCTCTTCATGACACTGACTCTAGAAGATCTCAGGTTGCAATCCTATACCAGCTTTTCTGGGAAGGACTGTCACTTAATTCATTAGGACTTACTTCTCAGTAGACATTTATGTTCCAAAACTCTGCAATGTGCCTTTGAGTTTAGGGAGCTATTTTATCATACCATACCCAATAATGAGCGGTACCAATGAAATGGATATGACTCTTTCTTTCTTCGTCAACTGGAGCCCCCACACAAGATGTGTTGGACCAGCTCCCATTATTCCTTTCCAACATGGCTATTGGCTTCTCTGGAATGTTATAACCACGGATTCCCAATAAATCCCAGCTATTGGAATCTGATGGGATCTGTTTAGCAATGTACCAAGGACAAAGATCTGGTTACTACCATACCAACTGCATGAAGAAGAATAAGAGCTGTGAGAAGGACAAAAAACAGCACAAGAGATGCTTGCTTTCACATTGCTGAGCATCTCTTTTTTCTGTACTACAGAGAATACACCAAACCTATTTATTTTTATTCAGAATTACCTAGCAATTCAGACTATTTTTTCCTAGTTGCAGCCAGTAGAAATCTCCCATTCTGTCTCCATCATCAGCCAAGTTGCCACTTTAACCCACCATGACTCCTTTGCAACACTTCTGAACCTCAAACAAATCACAGGCCATAAGGTTATCTACCATACATCCTATTCCACGGGAAAAAATGGGAAAACTTTATGTATGTTTGTGTTTCTCAAGTCGCCTGTTGACTTACGGCAACCCTGTGAATTTTATATGATTCCTTAAGCAAGGAATACTTAGAGATGGTTTTGACAGTTCCTTCCTCTTAAACAGAACCTACAGCACCTGCTTTTATTTCTTTGTGGTCTCCCATCTAAGTACTAACCAGGGCTGAACCTGCTTAGCTCCCAAGATCAGATAGGATCAGAGCTTTTAGGCTATTTAGGCTTGCTGGTTTCAAATAAGGTAACTGAGGGTCTAGACTTCAACATAGTAATATCAGACCTGTGAATACACACAGGGACAGAGGGAGGGAGAAATCCTCTCTAAGAAGGATCCCCTATTGCTGTATATCAAAGTGATGCAGAACAGACAGAGCCTAATGCATGAATGAATTTTTATTCCATCAATACTTATGTTAGTTAACTGTTAAGTACACAAGAAAAGCTCTGCTGGATTTGGATAGAAGTCCTATTCTCAGTCAAGCTGGATCAGACCAAAGTCAAGCATCCTATTTTTGCAGTGGTCAGCCAGAACTCTATGGGAATCCCACAAGCAGGAGAACATACAGCAACAAGGAACATGAGTTCCTTAGCAAGGAATGTTGACAAGCTTATGCCTAGAACTTTTGTAGCCGAAAAGTTCAGAGAAGATAAACTGGGGGTGCACACATCCACTGGGGTGCACACAAGATTTATACCAACACAATAAAGGTATGTAGTTAACATACAACTAACAGCCTATATCTGCCTCACGACTGGGAGGATGTGATCCTCAAAGATGCTCAAAGTGGTACCTTAATTCATACAACAAATGAGGCAGATAGAGCAGCCGGTTACTTACTCAAAAATGGAATGTAGTTAACATAGCAACCTACATCTGGCTCACAACTGACTTCTGGGAGGATGTGGCCCTTACAGATGTTCAAAGTGGTTCCTTGATTCATACAAGTGAGACAGATATAGCAGCCAGGTATCATGTGACTCATGACCATGTGATCTTTGCATATTGTACTATTCCATCTCTACCCACCAACCTCTTCAGACTCAGGCCACCTCCCACTACAATGTCTAATCTAGGTCATTTGTTCTGTAAATTGGCTGCTATTATTCCTGTTGGCTCCAGGGTCTCATCCAGACCTTGAAACAGCAGAACCAAAGATTCAAGCTCTCTCCCCACCAAGACACACTTGTGCCCATGGGCTAAATAGCTGTCTGCTTTCACAACCCAGTCACTCACCAATAAAGGATTTGGTTGCTTAAATGGATGGGATTGTTAGAAAGGAAAATAAGCAACCCACACTTCTTTGTTTCAGGGGCACAGGCATTTTCCTAGGATTCAAAATGAACCATTAAATGGGAGGGCAGTGGGGGGATGGACACACAGCAGAAAAGCTTTTAGGCACACTTATCAAAAGCAGTCTTCACAGCAGGGCCACCAAGGCTGCTGCAATTAAACCCCAAAAAGCACTAACGTGACCAGAGTCCACAAGAGGGTTTGAGTCAACTAAATGGAAAGAGCAGCTGAAATCCTTAAGAGGAAGAATGAGCAATAAAATCAGCCCAAATTCTACCAGCTGTGGATGGACAAAGCTATCCCACTATCCTTCAACTCAAAACTGCAAGGGAAAACCCCAATGCTCACACAGCTGCTACAGAAGGGAGGCAAAGATGGTCTACAGCTGCTAACAGCTGTAAAGATGGACACATGTCAGCTTGATAGATTGGAGGGAATGAATGACGTGCTGCCCATCTGGACAGTATGCAAAGATGCCACAAACAGAGTTGCTCAGTGCTCTTGATATTACTTCTCCCATTAGAGCTGTTAGGGGGAGCATACGAATCAACAAATAGGTTCTGAAGAAAAAACACCCCATGATATTTTTCCCACAGCCCAATCCCTGGCTTGCAACAATCCATGAAGTCTACATCACTCCTCCCTATCCCATGAATGCTTCAGCTTCCTTGTACCACCGTCCAAAAATGCTGCATCCTTTAGGGGAGGGGCAAAATCGCTACAGATTGCATGCTGCAAAACCACTGAGAATTATACAATCACAATAAACCAAGTCGAGGCTTTGGATGCTGGCCCAGGCAGCACATCGAAGCCTCTCCCGGCTCCAGACCAATCTTGGCAGCCACACCAGGGGACAGATGAGAGATGCTTGCGGTGGCACTGCCCAAAGAGCAAGGGCTCCGTTTTGC